TCTGCCAGAGGAAATGGTGGAAATGGGTGCAATGACAACATTTAAAAGATATTTGGGCAGGGAGACAGATAGGAAAGGTTGAGAGGTACTTGAACCAAACACGGGCAAATGGGACTAGTTCAGTTTGAGAAACCTGGTCAGCATGGGCATTTTGGGCCAAAGGGCCTGTTTCCATGCTCTATGACTCTGTGACTCCGTAAAACATTGCTGGCTGGGATGAAGCAATGTGATCAGGGTTTGGTTAATTCATTGGCTGAGAGCAGAGAAGTTTCTGGAAGGAACGTTGAGACAAAGTGAGCAGAACAAAGGATTTCTCAGGGGGAGCTCTGGAGACCAACATTCGCAAAGTATGTGCCCTGAAGTGATCTTCGGAGAGGACAGAGAATCACGAGGCAAGATCTACACTATGAGCAAATTTGACCACTTCACTTAAACCGAGCTAGTGTTCAATTCAAGCCAAATGAATAGTTAGGGTTAAATGTGAATAAAATCAAGCAAAGTAAGCTAAATGAAGTGAGTTAAAGCTGAAGTTAAGTTAGAGGAGCTAAGAAGTGAATGCATTCTTTTTGTTGAGTGCTGGTATCTAAAGGGTTAATTAAAGAAATGTTTGTTTGTTTAGGTACTGAGTCAGTTCCCCACCTTTGGTCCACAGGATATCATAGAATCATAGAATCCCTACAGTGTCGAAGCATCCTACCCAGACCCATCCCCATCCTCCTACCCCATCCCTACAACGCTGCATTTCCTGTAGCTAATGCACCTAACCAACATACCGCTGAACACTACGGGCAATTTAGCATGGCAAATCCAATTAACCTGCACATCTTTGGGCTGTGGGAGGAAACCAGAGCACCTGGCAGAAACCCCACAGACACAGGGAGAACATCAAACTCAACACAGACAGTCACCCCAGTTTGGATTCAAACCCAGGACTTTGGCACTGTGAGGCAGCAGTGCTAACCACTGAGGCACTGTGCCGCCCCTTGGATACCTGGGTAAAAGGTTAGAGTGTCCCCTCAGATAACATGGAAATCTACAACTGATGGCTTCTTCCATTTTGATCCATACCTGACACAGTGAGGGCGAGCAACTCACTACAGTTGATAACGTGGGCAACGGCATTTGCAGCACAGCAGGAGTACACAGCGCCCTCCCCCTCAGGTGGCATGGTGACATGGAAAGTGGCTGTCCTGGAGTCAACGACTGTTGTGTTCCTCAGGAGGTGGTGGTGGTGACGGTATAGCATGAGGTTTATAGGCAGTGTCCCACTTTCGGAGGTACACCGGATGGTTAAGTGGTCACCGATGGACACAGCGGACCCCATCAGATCTGAGCTGATGGATGGGCAGCTCACAGGGACTGGGAGGAGAAAGAAAATTCAGACATCAATTAAATCCCAAGCAGCAAAAGTAATGATCCCAACACAGACTGCACACGGACATGACTTTTCAAGGACAGATCCACAGTGGTGAAGGTGCAGAATTAGATATAGTTACTGAGTTTTCAGTACAGAAACAGGCCCGTTGACCCATCATGGCTTACCAGTCAAAAACAAGCACCTTACTTTTCTAATCCTATTTTCATCAGGGCTAGTTCTTAAGGCTAAAGGGATCAAAGGGTATGGGGTGAAAGGGGAACCAGAGCACTGAGATGGATGATCAGCCATGACCGGATTGAATGTTGAAGCAGGCTTCAAAGGGCCGAATGTCCCCTACTCCTGCTCCTATTTTCTGTGATGCTATGATGGAAGGAATCATGTGCTGGTCACCTGTAACATCCATGATTTCCCACATATTAAAACATGTACTCCACATGACAGAGCTGTGCTGTCATACCTTAATTTACTTCATTTAGGTTGATAATATGTGACATTCATTTACTTATAATAATTTTGTTTTCTTTGACCTTACAATAATAAAGATAACAAATGTTGATCAACCTTACTCGGATTGAAAACTCCAACCAACAATTAACATACTTAACTGATTTCAAGTCAACCTCACTTGAACTCTTTGTCCCTTACTACCTTTACTTTATTTTCTACTTATGAGACATGGACATGACTGGCTGGGCCCTATATTCATCAATTTCATCCCTAATTTCCCCCTTGAGAAAGTAATAGTGAGCTGTCTTCTTGAACCACTGCCATCCATGTGCTATAGATTGGGCACAAATGCCATGAGGAAGGGAAATCCAGGATTTTGACACAGTGACACTGAAGGAATGGCTGATATATTTCTCAGTCAGGATGGTGAGTGGCTTGGAGGGGAATGTGCAGGGGGTGGTCTTCCCATTTCTCTGCCTCCCTTTCCTTCTAGATGGAAGTGATCATGGGTTTGGAAGGTGCTGTCTTAGGATCTTTGGTGAATTTAGCAGTAGTCTCATAGATGGTACACTCTGCTGCTACTGACCATCGATGATGGAGGGAGTGGATGTGGTGCCAATCAAGTGGCAGCTGCTTTGTCCTGGAGAGTGTCGAGCCTCTCGAGCGTTGTTGGAGTTGCACTCATCCAGGCAAGTGTGGAATATTGCATCACACTCCTGACTTATGCCTTGTCGATGGTGGACAGGCTTTGGAGGGAGTCAGGAGGTGAGTTACTCGCTGCAGTATTCCTAGCCACTGGTCTGCTCTTGCAGCCACAGTATTGAAATGATTAATCCTGTTCAGTTTTTGGTCAATGATTATCCCCAGGATATTGGTAGCGGGGGAATTCAGTGATGGTAATACCATTAAATATTAAGAGGTGATAGTTAGATTCTCTCTCAATGGTAACCCCAGGATGTTGATAGCGGGGGGGTTCAGTGATGGTAATACCATTGAGCATCAAGAGACTATGGTTAGATACTTTCTTATTTGTGTGGTGCAGATTTTACTTGCCACTTGTCAGCATAAGCCTGGATATTATCCAGATCTTGCTACATTTGCACACAGGTTGCTTCAGTATCTGAGGAGTAGCGAAAGTAACTGAAGGGTAAAGTCTTACAGATGTACAGCATGGAAACAGACCCCTCAGTCCAACTCATGTATGTCGACCAGATATTCTAAATTAATCTTGTCCTATTTGTCAGAATTTGGAATCATATCCCTCTGAACCTTTCCTATTCATGTACCCATTCAGATGCCTTTTAAATGTTGTCATTGTACCCGTCTCTATGACTTCCTCTGGCAGCTTATTCCATGCATGCACCACTTTCTGTGTGAAAAGTGTTGTCCCTTAGGTCCCCTTTAAACTTGTCCCCTTTCACCTTAAACCAATGCCATCCAGTTATGGATACCCCTACACTGGCAAAGACCTTGGCTATTCACCTGATCCATGCCCCACATGATTTTCTAAACTTCTATATTTTATAAACCTCAGCCTTTGATGCTCCAGGGAAAATAGCCCCAGCCTATTCAGCCTCTCCCTCTTCCTCAAACCTTACAACCCCAGCAACATTCTTGTAAATCTTTTCAAAACCCTTTCTAGCTGAAGGACATCGTTCCTGGCAAGAAGACCAGAATTGAGTGCTATATTCCAAAAATGGCTTTATCAATGTCTTGGACAGCCTCAACATGAAATCCCAACCCTGATACACATTGCACTGACCGATGAAGGCAAGTTTACTGAACACCTTCTTCAAAATCCTGTCTCCCTGCGACTCAACTTTCAAGGAACTATGAACCTGCACCCTCTATGTCCCTTTATTCAAAAATATGCCCCAAGATGCTAGCATTAAATATATAAGCCCTGCCCTGATTTGCCTTACCAAAATACAACACTTCACTTTTATCTAGTATTTATCTAATTTGGATTACTGTGAACAGTTATGGGTTCCCATATCTGAAGAAAGATAGCCTGGGCAGTGGAGGCAGCCCAGAGAAGGTTCACTTGGCTGATCCCAGATATGGAGAGACTGTCTGATGAGGGAAAGGTTGAGTAGGTACAGCCTGTCCTCATTGGTGTTTAGAAGAATTAGAGGTGACCTTATTGAAGATTATTAGAGGAACCTGACAGGGGAGATGCAGAGAGAAGTTGTTTCCCCTTGTGTGGGAGAGTGTACGACCAGAGGGGCAACATGTCAGAATAAGGGAGGCCTCCTATTGAAGTTGGGGATGAGGAGGAATTTATTTTCTCTGAGGGGAGCTAATCTGTGGAATTTTTTTTACCACAGAGGGCTGTTAAGGCTGGGCCATTCAGTATATTCAAGCCGAGATGGGGATTTTTAATCAGGAAGGGGAATTGAGGGTGATGGGGGAAAGGTGGGGGGGAAAGGCAGGAAAGTGGAGTTGAGGATGATCAGATCAGCTATACTCCCATTGAAGAGTGGAGCGGACTCGATGGGCTGAATGGCCTATTCCCACTCCTACATTTTATGATCTTCACATTCGGAGGATAACCAGGTTACATGAACCATGCAGATGCAAAAACTTGCACAGAGTCAGGCCAAATTACACAGTAAGAGGCCACTCACAACCAAAGGAGCTCTGGTAAGAAACTAGTCTCGGGATCAGAGCAGAGATGAATGTTGGTGATCTACCAATTACAAAACCCTCCTCATGAACTTAACCCTCCTCAGTCCCAGCAACTAAATTTGGACAGAAAAACTGGGGCTATTCCAACAGCAATACGAGATGACATGTGACGTCTGTTAAACTGACAGACGCATTTCTGACCAATTGTCATTGATTGATGTATTCTCCGTGGCGACCAGAGTGCCAATTCATCTCCTCTCTTCTGTTGCCAATTTCGATTTGCTCCCCTTTGAGTTGGCACTCTTGCAAAATGTCCTGATCAGTTTCAAGACGTCAACCGAAAGGCGCCATTTTCATTTGGCCAGATGAGCGCGAGTGAACCTTGGTTTCCATCCTGTGTCAGCCTCTCCCCACATCCCCAACGCACTCCCCACCCCCCGACCCTCACCTCAACCTGGTCCCTTGGTTGACTCACTCTGGACAGTGACTTCCACCCAGAGGGACAGGACCATTGAAAGGTTCTGGAAAATCGCACAGCGGTACCATCCCAAATCCATTAGGGTTGCTCGGTGGATGTGATAGACATTGCGAGTCATGGAATCAGAGTTCAGGAGGGTCTCATTTCTGTAGAAGGAAATTTGTCCTCTTCCACACACATGATCCTGGGGACACCGACAATTCAATGTGACGGAATCACCATCTCTCTGTAGTCTGGGATCCACTTGCAATGTCACCGGACTTTCTGAAATTGTTAGAGCGATTAAACGTTTTGTGACATAAACCATGGGATTTTGATTAATCATTTTCAATCTCTGTTGCTTGGATATCTGCTTCGCAGCTGTAGGGAGTGTAACAAGGTCAGTAGCGTGGACCTTATAGGATATAAGTTCCCTGATTGGAGCTGTTTACTTGGTCCAAATAGAGTTCTGAGTGAAAGGCATAAACAGGTGTGTCAGTGTTTCTGCTCACTCTCGAAGCCAGCCCTGAGTTGTTGGGTTAGTGTCACGTACTATACAAGTGTAATTAAAAGGTGAATTGGTGACTGGATACTGGCCTCTGTGGAGTTATTTCAGCAGCAATTAACTGATGCATTTTCATCTCTGCATGTGATGTTAATCATTAACTCGCAAGTACTTTTGACGCCATTCCTTCTAAAACAGTTTAGAAACCTGGATATAGACTGAATGGCTTTATGCATCAGTGAATGTTTGCTGCATTTTGATTGCTTTTTGTAGGAATGATTAGCAGTGCAGTTCTGAGAGACGCTTTGGGATGAGCAATCATAACATGATAGAATTCTTCAGTAGGATGTTGAGTGAGATTCTGGGACTACGTTCCTGTATCTTAATAAGGAAAACTACAATGGTATGAGGTGTGAGTTGACTATGATAGTTGAGTTGATTGTCTAAGTGAGTGGGCGAAGGTCTGGCAGATGGAGTATAATGTTGATAAGTGTGAGGTCATCCATTTTGGTAGGAATAACAGCAAAATGGTAAATGGTAAAAAGTTGCAGCACGCTTCTGAGCAGAGGGACTTGGGTGTCCTTGTGCATGAGTCACTAAAAGTAGGATTGCAGGTGCAGCAGGTAATTAGAAAGGCAAATGGAATTTTATCTGTCATTGCTCGGGGGCTGGAGTTTAAAAACAAGGAGGCGATGCTGCAGCTGTATAGGGTCGTGGTGAGGCCACACCTGGAGTACTGCGTGCAGTTTTGTTCTCCCTACTTGAGAAGGAATGGTAGCACTGGACGGGGTGCAGAGGAGATTCACTCGGTTGATTCCAGAGTTGAGAGGGTTGGATTATGAGAAGAGACGAGGTAGGCTGGGTTATACTCATTAGAATTCAGAAGAATGAGGGGAGATCTTATAGAAACATATAAGATTATGAAGGGAATAGATAAAGTGGAGGCAGGGTGGTTGTTTCCACGAGCAGGTGAAACGAGGACTAGGGGGCATAGCCTCAAAATAAAGGGAAGCAGATGTTGGACTGAGGTCAGGAGGAACTTCTTCACTCAAAAGGTTGTGAATCTGTGGAATTCCCTGCCCAGTGAAGCAGTTGAAGCTACCTTGCTGAACGTTTTTAAGGCAAGGCTAGGTAAATTTTTGAACAGTAAAGGAATTAAAGGTTATGGTTTGCGGGTGTGTAAGTGGAGCTGAGTCTCAAAAAGATCAGCCATGATCTTATTAAATAGCGGGGCAGGCTCGAGAAGCCATGTGGCCTACTCCTGCTCCTAGTTCTTATGTTCTAATGATGGATTGGGAAATGTTACCAAAAGGATTGACAGTGGGTAGGCAGTGCCAAACACTCAATGACAAATGGGTGAACTACAGAAATTATTTATTACAACCTGACTCAAGAGTGCAAAGAGAACAGTGGCCAAACTATGGCTTCCAAAAGGAGTTGAAGATGGTATTAACTGAAAAAATAAAGGCATAAAAATTGGCAAGAGAAAGAAACAATAGCCCCGAGGATTGGGAACAGTTAAGATTTCAGCAAGAGAGGACTAAAGGATGCATTGAGAAAGGTAAATTAGAGAATGAGTGTAAGCTTGCAGGGAACAGAAAAACTGACAGTGAAAGCTTCTGCAAGTATGTAAAGAGAAAAAGTCTGGTGAAAACTCATGTAACTCTCTTGCAGTCAGAAACAGGGGACTTTATAATGGGGAACAAAGAAATGGCTGATAAACTAAATTCATACTTCAATTGTGTCTTCACACAGGAGGATATAAAAAATGTGCTAGAAATGATAGTGAACAAAGAGATTGGTGAGATAGAAAAAGTAAAGAAATACTGCTGGGCAAATTGATGGGAGTAAAGGGTGATAAATCCCCAGGGACTGACAACCGACATCCCAGAGTGCTAAAGTAACTGGCCTTAAAATTAATGGATGCATTGGTGACCATGTTGCAAGATCCTACAGACTCTGAAACAGTTCCTACACATTACAGGGTAGTGGATGTAACCTTACTATTTAAAAAGGGAGGTAGAAACAAAACTGGGAATTATAGACCAGTCAGCCTGACATCAGTATTGGGTGTATCAGGGATTGGGAGATGTTGAGGGTTCAATATTAGCCATCATTTCAAGCCAACATGGGGCAGTTTAATCTGCATGGTGGGGTAAAACCAGAAGCATTACAGCCAGCAACTAATGTCAGATCCAGCACCGTGCTGTTATCAGCTAGAATTAACTGCTTAGTTACTGCTTATTAAGGCCAATCAGTCAGGGTTATCCTTTTGGCACCTGAAGTTCATTTCCCTCTAGATTTCATGGGAATTAAATCAATCAAATTGTGTGGCCAACTTACAAAATCCCATTCACATCAAATTTGGGGTGCGACATTAGTTTGGATAGAGGATTGGCTAGCCAATAGACAACAGACAGTCAGGATAAATGGATCTTTTTGTCTGTTTGGCAAGTTATAATGAGTGGGGACCACAGGGTTAAGTCCTTGTCCCTAACAATTTATAACGTGTAT